CGGAGAGCGTAAAAAGCTGCTATCTAGACACCTGCACAGATCTGTCATTTATTTTAATGTGCCCGTTTCTATAAAAAAAATTAACTTTATTATTATTTTCCAGTTTGTTGGGGGAGAGTGAGAAAGCAAGCCTCCAGGTCCAGGATTCGAACCATGGTTGGCCATGTAGGACTCCAGCACCTTTAACCACTGTACCACCTACCAACCCCAAGAATTATTTAACTTTATTGAATTTGACCAGAGAGAGACAGAGAAAGTGAGAAAGCAAGCCACCAGGTCTGAGACTTGAACCGTGGTATGCCATGTGGGAGACTAGTGCCTTAACCAACATGCTACCTGCAGGCCCCTAAAGCATACATACAGTATATAATCAAATCAAGTATATAAATATAGTCATTTTCAGTGTTGAGGATTATATCGTGCACATTTGGTCATAGTCCTTTTAGTTTTTTTTAATATGTATTAGATATCCATATATTCTACTTTGGTATGCTGCCCATAGCCTCTTTACCTTAGTTACATTTTTTTAAAAGAATTATTATTATTATTTAAGAAGCATTTAACTTTATTTTCATTTGACCACAGAGGGACAGAGAGAGAGAGAGAAAGGGGAAGTGAGGAAACAAGCTGCCAGGCTCCAGACTTGAAACGTAGTCAGCCATGTGGGAGTCCAGGGCCCTTAACCACCATGCCACCTGCCAGCTCCAATAATTATTTTATTGAGATTTATTTATGTATTTTAATTTGACCAGAGAGGAACAGTATGAGAAAGAGAGAGAGAGACAGAGGGAAAGTGAGAAAAGGAGCCTCCAGGTCTGGGACTCGAACAGTGGTCGGCCATGTGAGTCCAGTGCTCTTAACCACCACACCACCTGCTGGCCTCTACATGTATTTTTGTGTCCATTAAAATTTTTCTCACAAACGCCACCTATAGCAGCTTTGGGTACCTAGCATTACTCTGTCTCTTTGCTTTTGAGTCTTTCAGTTTCTTCTATGGAGTCTGGACATTCTGTATACATAAAGTGGGGACATACAGTATTTGTCTTCTGTAGTCTGGCTTATTTCATTTAGCATTATATCCTCTAGGTTTGTGCACTTTTTGTCAAATGACAGGATTTCAGCTCTCATTTCAGTGATGAAACTGAGACCTGGGTTTTCTTGGTCTACTTGTAGCTTGCTTTCTTTTTTTTGTTTGTTTGTTTGCCAGAGGGAATGTGTACTCTCCAGAGAGGGAGACATAAAGGGAGAGGGAGAATGCATTCCTCAATGAGGCATGATCAGGATGCAATCCCTTTTCCTCCTTCTTTCTGTCCTGTTGGGATTTTGGATGCAGAAAACATGTGCCTGGCATGTTTTTTTTTTTCCTCCTTTTAAGATTTTGCCATAGGGTGTATGCGCTTGCCAGAGACAGAAAGGGAAAGTGAGAAATCACCCCCCAGAGGCACAGCCACTTTGTAATCTCTTTTCCTCTAGTCTCCTCCTGGTATCTTGAGCATGTACGCACACATGCCCAGTGTGATTTTCAATCTTCTGGGTCTGGCACTCAAGCTGTGGTCAGTCATGTGGGAGTTCAATGCCTTAACCAGCATGCCACCTGCTGGCCCTACCTGGAGTGTTTTTCAAGCCACCAGGGTCAGGATTTTAATTGTATGGCTAGCCGTGTGGGGTCCAGCTTGCTTAACAGTCCAGCTAGAGGGCCAACCCTGTAGTTTTCTTGACTGAAGAATAGTTTCTAGTGTTTTATTTTTTATTTTTTTTTTGTT